GGGGAGTCTGCAGGATTATGTACACACTTGGTTTTCTGCCAGCACTGGGTTTGAAGACACTTGCATGGATCTGATTTCTCAGGTTGCCACAAACCCACCAAAAGTATCAGGGTCTGTTATTGATTCACATGTGCTCTAAAAGATGTTCTGAAACATGGGTGACATCACTGGCTTATAATGCAGCTTCTAAAAGTTCTATTCTCCAGATCCCTTATTCCATTTCCCTACAAATGTCCTCTAGGAGCTACCACAAGATTACTTCACTGGCCAATAACTCCATCCACCTTCCCTTCCAGTGTGTGTCACGTTCCTGGGAAGGTTCTACCAGAGTTTAAAGGACAATGACATCGAATTCACACCTTCCAGTATTGAAAAGGAGCTCTTGAAATCCTGCAAAGAAGCAAAAGGCAAAGAGAACCGCCTGGTAAGTAGTGGCAGTCAATGGTACTTGCCTCCTGAGGGAATAAGTTGTAGGATACTTGGCAAACAAGGGGAAACCAATGCCTCTGAGTTTATGATATAGCTTCCCAGGGGCTGTTTGTCCTGCTTCTGTGGCTACAATTGGTCCTGTATTTTTTATAGGAGAGGACTTGAGGAGTTTGACCTCTTCACCTTAAAAAAAAAAGAAAAAAACCCCAACCTGTCTACAGACATCGGACTGGCTGGCCTTGTGTCTCCCTTGTTACTGAAGCACTGGGGATTACAAAGCTTTTATTTGCTGTAGGGCTTCCCTGTCCCTTAGACGGTATTTGAGGTGCTATATATAAGCTGTTAAAATATTTATACTCTCTGGCTGTTTAGCTGCAAAACTAAATTAAGGAAAACCAACTTGCCCTAACTAAAAACCGAAGGCAATCTGTGAATGAAGAGCCCCAAGGAAAAGGCCCTGAACTAGAGGCACTGTGAGACGTAGAGAGGGGGAACACTTCAGGGAGTCTTTTCTCCTTGAAGGAAGAAGACTTTATTCTTAATCCAGTTCAGTTTTCATAAGGCTGAGAAACAAGAGAACCAGTCTGGGCAGCTGTAAAAGCAGTGAAATGGAACACACCTGCTCAGTAGCCTGGGTTCAGAGTTGGGCTCCTTTTTCCATCTGTAGTGGTCACTTGGAGAGGTTCTGTAACAGCAAACATCCAGCTGCCAAAACAAGTGAGGGAAGGGATAGCAAACTCTCCTGTTAAAAGCCTTTTTCCATACAATCCAATCACTCTTGTCTTCCCTCTAGTGCTATTACATTGGGGCTACAAGTGATGCAGCCACCAAAATCATTAATGAGGTGTCAAAGCCCATGAGTCATCACATCCCCGTGGAAAAGATCTGTGAGAAGCTAAAGAAGAAAGACAGTCAGATCTGTGAACTAAAATATGGTAAGTTGCCAGCACAAGGGGGAATGCCCATGCTTTTCTGGGGTGTGGATCTCTGGGGTAAAAAGCAGCATGCTAAAACTACTCAGCCCAAAATTCTGTAGCCTAGATAGGTTGTGCAACCTGGGTTGCTCTTCACGAATATCCTAGAGAGTTTTATGGAGGTGCTCAGGTACAATTGTTGGCCGCTAACCCTTCTTAGCTTCTGCAGGGGACTCTGATCTGCCCTGAAATAACTAACTCCCTGGTGCTCACACTGCTGTTGGGAATATCCTGCTTGGGAGGGCGTGTGGTACAGCCTGTCCTAGGGAGCAGGCAGGGGTGTCACTGTGGCTGGGACTCGAGCCCTTGGCTGAGCTCTGCAGTTGCAGCTGCTCTCCTGTTTCCAGCAGCAGGGAATGCTGCTTTCTCACCTCCTCTGGTGTCTGCTCACAGCATTCCACACTCTATTTCTCACCACCTTCCTTGAACTCTCATGTTCCTAGATTACTCCTCTTCCTGAAAAGACTAATATGAAGAGCAGGCATGGACATACCTCCTGCTGCTTTCCTATATCTCTGCCCTTACATGCCCTGGAGACACCCCTTGGATTGTGGGTCTTTATACCTCTCACTTCTGTTATGTCCTATTGCTTCCTAAAAAGCTTTTTTGTTGTTGTCACTTGCTTATCTTTCCTCTAAAATCACCCTGCTACCTTTCACTCATCCAGTGAAAGAGAGAAGTGTCGCTGCTGATATAATAAAGGGGCATTCAGGGCTATTGTGGAAGACCCACATCGAAGCTGCAGCCAAGCATTCTGGCTTCTAATAACGACTTATAGCATTAAGAGCCTTACCACTATCCAAAGCCTAACTTAGGCGTTCCTCCCACTCCCGGCACCTCTCCCTATCTCGGGCTGGGACTTCCCTGCCCTCTCCGTGTGTCTGAGTGCGGCTCTGCTCTCCCCGCAGACAAGCAGATCGACCTGAGCACGGCTGACCTGCGCAAGCTGCGCGTCAAGGAGCTGCGGCGGATCCTGGACGACTGGGGTGAGGTGTGCAAGGGCTGCGCAGAGAAGTCTGACTTCATCCGCAGGATCCACGAACTGATGCCCAAGTACGCGCCGAGGGCAGCCGGCGCCCGGGCGGACCTGTGAGGGGCGACCCCGGGGCTGTGAGGGGCGACCCCGAGGTGACCACGGGGCTCTGAGGCGTCTTGGAGGGGCGATC